AGAGACCTTTGCTTGAGGCTCTGCTTCAAGACATTAATCATCACTGCCATTCATCTGAGAATATGAACTCCCACCCGATCGGAAAATTATGGCAAATATGGCTCTATCAGTGTGTTTGCATCTAGAAAACAGCAGACAATTCTGGACACAGTTTAGCCCTATTGCAGATATAATTATTTTTGGCTTCAGTGCTTTCTAATGCAAATTTCGGGTGATATGAATATTTTATGCAACCACAAGCAATTCACATCACTGTGGTTATACTGTAGGGGGCTGACCAGCATGCATAAATTCTTTTATCTTTATGTTGGGGGCTGAACCAACTAGTGCCCGAAATTTGGGCTTCAACAGTCTTGGCACTGTGTCATCAAGTGTGAAGAACACACTTGCACCCAGTTTCGTAGCATTATGGTGTTCCTTCATGCACACATTCAAATGCCAACTCGTCCATCCCACGTACTTGTGGTCATGCTTGAAGTATACCGTATCTACTCGCATAATTTGCACACCCCTAATATTTTGCCAGTTTTATGAAAAAAAAATTTACTCGAATATCGTGCGCTCCCCGGTCTGCCTGAGCCAGCTCACCAGCGCACACATGACGAGACTTTGAACCTTTAGAACCTTTGGATGCCTTGAACGGGCAAGCTGGACACGCGCCTTGCTGAGCAGGCGAATGCATTCAAACGGGCTGCCACTGCAAAGCCCCTCCTTCCGAGGACTTCCCCCGAACTAGGGTCCCTAGAAAACCGTACCTGCCAGAACTACTCGAGCGTTTGCCTCCCTCCCCCTATCTCTACAATCGCTACCATGAGAACGCATGCTCGTGTCACAGCACGGACAACTTTCTGCATCGGAGGCGTGCGTGTGCGCCTGTTGCGCCAACTGTTCCCCTCGTTGTCTGCATCCGCGCTGTAATGCACGCTTGGTGGATTTCTGAAGTTTGTGTTTCACCATCTATTTATCGCCTTTTTACTGTTCTCTTGCAATCGCCTATGATAATTATATATATATATATATATATATATATATAATGGCAAAATTAAAGCTCACTGTTGTGAATTTTGCCGAAGAAAACTGGAACCATGCCGGGACCAAGCACTTCAGCGTGAACTTCAACGTGTGACGATCGGCGTGATCAGTACGAGAGAAAGCAAAGGCGTGATCAGTACGAGAGAAAGCAAAGTGTGCAGTTGCTAATACAAGTTTTCTGCCGTAGAAAAAGGCCTTTCAGTTATATGCGAACGCTTAGGTTCTTCGGTATCATCGTGTCGTGGGACCTAGTTTCTCCCAGCTGTGTCGAAATCAAGAAAATGGGGCAATCGAACACGCTCGGCAGAACCGATGATGGTGCGCTTTGGGAGGGCGGGGACAGCAACCACAATGATCATTCTCAATCGGAGCTTTCGATGGGCGATTCCGACTAGACTACGCGTGACTGGATTTGACTGGTTGAAGTACGTGCAAATTCTGTTTAATTAACAAGTACACTTCGTTTGTGCATCAATTTATTATTTTTAGTGTGTATACTACACACGTTAGGACTATTGCACGTTATGTCGTATGCATTCGCGAAATCCCTGCATAAATTTCGCACCCCCTTCTCAGAGCCCCAAGATCGCGAAAAAAAGTGTGCAAATTATGTGAGTAAATACGGTAAGTATTCAGTATACAACCTTCATAGTAAAAAACAGTGTAAAAACAACAAGAATCGGAAAGATGAAACAGGACTAGCTCTGACAGACTGAACAGACTAGTTGCTGTGCAAACAATCGCTTGTGTGAACATTCCGACAATATTGGAACTAAAACAGGTTGCAGTTTGGCAATACATAATGCCGAGTGTGGACGCACCCTGAGCTTTCACCAGACGCGTCTTGTGTGCCGATACTGTTATAACTGCACTAGCGAAATATATGAAGCCTTCGCCATTCCTGTTGCAAAACATTGTGTATCAGCTCCCCATCTATCACACTAACTGACAAAGAGATCAGCTCTCTCTGCAGTTATGCATTCTACGCTTCTATGACAAATTATTGCATGTGCTTGAATAATGTTCTCCCTCTCCTTTGTTTTTTTTTTGTATTTTTTTTCTTCCACCTTCTCTCTAAGTTCCGAAAGCGTATAAATTTTCACTGAAAAAATTAACGCAGTTGTTGGTCTGCACTAGTCCTGTTTCATTTTTCTCATCCTTGTTGTACCAAGCTCATGCTCACACGCTTCTCAAGTACATAACCTGTGAGGCACATGGTAAAAGCGTGTGACATGGTTCCGTTGTGCATGCCTCTTCTGCCTGCTTGCCCTCCTCAATATATTTCTGCATGGTTGCGAAAATTACAGCCTTGTACAAAGTTGGCGCCATTCAGGTTGTTACTTGTATTCTCATTGTCGCAGATCTCGTATAGGGAGCTTGCATGAACTGCGGCGATGCTATGCACTCTGGATAGGCAGCCATATTTTTGTCAGAGGCGGCCGGGGAGTGCAGCAGCGCAGTCGTGTTTCCAAGCGTTGACGTAGCTTGAAAGCATGATCGAGTGTGAACGCTACGCAAATTTAACTCCAGGAAGTGTCGAGCACGATGTCAGCCTCCCCGGAAGACTACACCGCAGCGCTGTGCCAGAAAGACATCGAGTGGTACGAAGAAGAGATGAGAATTCGCTCCGAGTAGACCCATTCACGCTTCGTGCGGGTGACTGTGTTAGTGACGTGGACTTGTGGCCACGCGTCGACAGCTCCGATATTCATGAATTTCTCGTTCGGAGAGCGAGTTTGAAAACCCTGGAGCAGATGAAGTCCAGAAAGGCCCTCGAGGGTCACAACTTTTTCAAGAGTGGATGGTTGTGGGAGCCGTGGGTGAATAAATTCGTCTCCGACACCGTGATTGTCGTCACTCAAGCAAGGGGTGTTAAATTACTTGATTTTGCCATAGATGCTAATGTTTGTTTCTGTTCCGAATGAATTCTCAGTGTGTTCACAAGGCCCCCGTCGACGTCTTGTTCATAGGCAAGAGTGATGGCGAGATCCTTGCCGCGCACTGCACATGCATGGCCGGGAATAGCGAAGCCTGCTCGCATCCCACTGCATTGTTATTCTACGTGGAGTATGACGCACGTGCATGAGAAGAGCGCTCTCAGTTTTTTCAACACGTCCTACTTGAGTGACGACGGCAATTGTGTCCTCTGCGCATGGCACAGTGAAAGCTAGGAAAAGTGTGAGATTCTTCTCGCTGGTTCCACTCGTTGTGGCATCACTCAGCGTTGTATCATGCTTCCTTTTGTGATATTCGAAGGTTTATCCCTGTGTTTGATCAGAGACAGAGACTGCTCACAATGTCAAAGGGGAGATGAGACGCGCTCATGGCATATTCGGATACTTTTTCATTGCACGCGTTCTGTTTTATGCCGCTCTCTCAAAGTGGTGGCGTGCACTTGATTACATGCTCATTTGTGACACTCACTTTTATCTGTGAAGATATATATATATATATATATATATATATATATATATTATATATATATATATATATATATATATATATATATATATATATATATATATATATATATATATATATTACCCCTTCTTGCTGGCTTGGCCATAGTGGCCTTGCACGCCTTGTCGTTAACGGTAAATGTGAAGGCTAGGCAAGTAAATCGCTAGTGTGTACACTGTTTTTATGGGTTCCCAGTTTCGTAAGTCATGATATCTTCATTTTCTGGGACCATTTGAGAAAAAAGAAGCATAAATCATTTAATCACCTCTGTGCTGTTCATGTTACCAGTTCTGTGTCAGTGAGTGTATGTGGCGATCAAGTGGGATTTGTTCTTGTTGGTCTGTGCATATGTTATAGTTATAATGATTCTCTTTGCTTAATGACATGATTTTGGCTGCAGGATATTTAGCTTGTAACAGTACTCAGTGTAGTTGTTTAGAGGCCAAAACCAGTGATTTTCAAGCACAGTGGATCTGAATAAAATTTACTTCATGTATCCCTTTATGCACAATTTTTTCATTTGTGCCAAATTACAGGTTTGCGAAATGTGCAGATTGTTTGCAAATAAATTTCATAAATTGTCCCAAGCCTCCCACCTTGCTTTTCTCAATCATTATTGTGTGGGTGATGTCTAATAATGGTAAAGTGACACAACTAATGGGCCGCTACAGCGTCTGCAGTTCACAAGGCAACGATCGTGTGTGTTTGGCTAGAGCTTAGCTTGTGAATGTCTGTTTCCGGTGGGCGGCTATGCGAAGAGTGGCAGGTGGTATTGCGTAAAGGGCTTCACGCAATTCCCTGTTTATTCACAGAACACTCACGGCACTCACAGCTAATACGTAACCTTCATTTCAATATTAGTGTTTTAGCTGTCTTCCAAAACCTCAGTGATGGTGCCTGCTGCACAGTTTCTTGGCATCTTCGTGCCTCTTAGTGTATCTGAATCGCAGCTGTTATTGTTTGAAAGCTACGAGGAATTTGTACATCTGGCACGGTCATTTGCAAGCATTCTACAGCTGGTGCAGAGTAGTTCTCTGCTGAGTATCTGTTCTTCCCAGCTGTTGCAGCTCTGGGCTGACGGGGCCTCCATGCCTTTTATGATTTCTGGTCTTTAGCATGTTATACGTCATAAAAGGCAGTATTGCTTGGCTGGGTCACAGGGACACTGTTGCAGTATTTTGCTAGCTTAAAATCATTTTTTAATTTGGGGAGTATTTCTGCTATCAAAATCATGACAGGAACATCCAAGGAAGATAAAATCACCGTTACTATAACATGGTAAAATATTTGCCGAAGTTGGCATTTACATTCTACCATCACTATTAGTGCCTTGCTAATTGGTAACTCTGGTCAGAGAACTGGCTAACTTTCCTGTCCTGCTCTTCCTCCTCCCGCAACTTTTGTTTTTGTAGGTGGCTTTGTAAATTTTCCTACATGCCTGGATGTTTTAGTAGAGTTGAAATTATTGTTTACAAATCTGTTTATTTTTATGGTGTTTTGTCTTGTAGCTGAAGGAGGGCACTTCTATGATGGGGCTACCAATGTCTACATTACTGAAGCAAGCAAGGAATCAGTTTATCTCCTTGAAGTAAAACCAGAGAAGCAGGTCCTTCTATCTGTAAAGGCATCATTGAAGAGCAGTGCTTCAGTTGAGGTAAGCCTTCAGGTCCTTCTATCTGTAAAGGCATCATTGAAGAGCAGTGCTTCAGTTGAGGTAAGCCTTATGAGCGAATTAAAGGGACACTAAAGGCAACTAGTAAGTCGACGTTGGTTATTGAAATAGCGGTCCAAAAACCTTATAGTGTTACATTGTGCCAAGGAAGGGCCTATTTTGAAATAAAATCACGTTGTAGTGGTCCGCATCGGGTTAGCACACTTCAAATTACCCGCCTCAAGAAGCGGACCGACCGGACCAACTCACGTCACAGTTGCTGCGCACAATGTTGCCCGGCTTTGCTGCACTAGTAGCAGCAGACCGAAAGCAGCGGGAGCCACAAGCAACAACAGCCATTGCTCAATTTCCCGCCATTGGCTTCGAGATTGCAAACGTTTTTTGGTTCAACTACGTCCCGCTAGATCGCACCACCTGTCCCGTGTAACAAATTTATAATACATTTACGTCTTTGTTAAGGCAGCTGCAAGTGGAAGTTCAGTCATCAGATTACGATTGCGAGCTGCACTCGTTGCAAATGTCGCAGACGCGCGCCTTGGACTGACTTTAATAGCATTGACTCATTAGGTTCGCTAGCGAGTTAGAGGTTCTGCTTGTCTGCACTTCGGACCTTGAGATGAAGACCACAGTAAATCTCAGTCTTTGTACTTGCGATCGAGCGTGATAGTACCTAAAAATTGAGACATCGGCAACGCGGCCACGCACGGGGCAAGCGAACTTTCTGTCTGTTCGAACCTGTGGCCAGGACTAACTTCACTCCGAACTTTGTGGACAAGTAAGCAGACATGCGAATGCGAAGAAGCTGTAATGTGCTTTGTTTAAAGCAGCGAATTATATTGTCATTGGCTTTTTGAAATTATGACTTTTTGAATAGATTATGGGCAAAAATCAGGTGTCGTGGTCCATTTAAAGGGACATTATGGACCAATGCATTTTTTTGTGTATTGTTAAAGTACGATTTAACAATACCAAAACCACCACTCTTACCGCGACACAACGCTTGGTAAGTGAGGACATGTGGGAAAAGAAACTACAGGCAGAGACGCTACCTTGAGATTTCCACACCAGACACTGTGATGTCATAAATTTGTAGGCGTCTTCGGTATCCTGCATACGTTCTAATCGATAAAATTGAAGTTCATTGTAGTCTGTGGGTGCCATAGACTTAACATACGAAGTTTCACAAAAGTTCATCTTGCCAATGTTGCAAAAATAAAAAAATACATTGTGGAATTTTTTACGTCACGCGGAGACTATGGCACGAAATTTAGAAGTGGAAATTCAACCTTAATTTTCTCCTCTAGTAATAAACTTATGACAGGGAAACTTACTACATTAGAGTTCTCAGAATGCAGTTTATCAACCTAAAACAACTCATTGTTTCTCTTTGGTGTCCTTTAAGGGGGAAAAGTATCAAAGAAATTCTATTGTACATCAGACTTGACTATATCAAATTATTCTTTATGTCAAAGTATCTTGAACGTCAGTGTATTAGAAAATTTTTGGCTAAGCATTCAAAAAAAGCCGGAACGCTTGATATATCCAACATCGGACATTGTGAAACATCACAGTAAATTGGCTTTTTCTCACAAAAAGGGATTTTCTTACGTGCATTCATAAAATTGACCGGCAGGGTGAGAAAGCTGGTATTAATACCGCATTTTCTCGTCTACAACTTGCCCTGCATATAACCCCTACCACCACTTTATACTGCGCAGAACTACGCACTGAAAAATTATAATAAAAGTAAAATAAATGCCTGTCTGTTGTCCTAAGCCGCCTTCCTTGCATTATTGTGAAGCAGTTCAAGAAAGCCAACTTGCTCACCAAAATTTGTATTGAAAATTGTGGGGTCCCGAAGTGGAGAGCACAACGCTCTTGGAGTGAACGGGCACAGTATACCTGGTCGGACCAAACCAAACAACACATATTTATTTAGCTGCTTTAGAACGTCGATATCGTCATACCGAATTATTATACATCAATTGTCATCAACACGCTAAGACATCCTTACACAATATTAAACAACACTCAGCAACATAACAAACCCAATGCGGTGGCGCCGACGCTTGACTCTTGACAACGGCCCGCAGCAGACAACCCGCGGTGCCATCTACTGCGGACCGCCGTATGAGCCAACCGCTCGCTCCAACCGCCACACGCCAAAAAGGACCGCTTCTCTCTCCTCTGACACCACCAAGGCTTGCCGCCAGGCGTCACCGCTGGAGCTACCATTCTACCGTATTTACTCGCGTAATCCTCGCACTCGCATAATTCTCGCACCCCCACGTCGCCTAACAAAAATATGATTTCTTTTTTTTTCCTCGAGTAATTACCGCACCCCCAAAAACTGCCATAATAATGTCGTCTGCTCATTCAAACGACTGATGATGATAGCACGCGCCATCTCTTAAGCATCAAGCATACTGTTTGCACGGAGATTCAATCCAATCCAAGCCAAAGGGGCAAGTGCACGTTGCGGCGTGTTTTGTATGTTGTGTCGGTAATCTTGTCACGTTATGGGGCGACACCGAAGCTACATGGCTGCTTTCAAGCTGAAAGTGATAGATCATGCACTAAACAACGGCAACAGGGCCGCCGGTAGGCCCTTCAGAGTCTACGAGTTTTGTGTTCGCTACTGGTGACGGCAGCTGAAAGCCACCAAGACGCGTTGGGCCTTCCGTGTGCTTGAAACTGGGATTGATGGTAAACTTTATTTATTTAGAAGGAAACTGCAGACGATTTTGTTAAATAGCCATTAGCCCAATACTGATGTCTTACGCTTACCTTTTGAGGGCTCCTGTTGAGCGACGAACGCTACCGCTATGCCCGCAACGGCCACAAGCTTTGCGTATGGTATTCTAATTCTCGACTATTTGCTTGCACTTTTTGTGTCTCAAATAAATCTTGCTTTGTGTTGAACTTGTGCTTTTATTGTTGAGGTAAGTTTTAATTAGTACTTCTCAAAGCTTGCTCTTAGTTGCTGGTGTGATAATCCTGATTTGCGGCCACTTCGTTTTCCTTTTCGCACTGTATGTTTTCAAGGAAAATTTTCCCCGCGTAATTCTTGCACCCCCCAACTTTGCATCGGTTTTCCGCCAAAGAAGTGCGAAGATTATGCAAGTAAATATGGTAACAACCGTGATAATGATGGTGATAGTGGTGATAAATGCTCGCGAGCTCAACCCCACCTAGCACTCAATAGTTATGACCTTTGAATCCGGCTTCTGCGCGAGACACGCACGCTACGAGGTGTAAACAACTTTACAGGAGATGTTAGCACCCTCACAAAATACATAATTCCTTAACTCTTTCGTTACCGTGCAAAAATGGTTGTTTTTCACATGTCTCGGGAAAATCGTTTTTGCCAGTTTGAAAAGTACTCCAGCACGCATTACAGCATACCAAGCTTTGCACAATGAAATGCTCTTTCCAAAAAATATGTTGTAAAGCTACAGAAACATTTTAGAATGAATAAAAATGTGAAAAGTGTGAGAGTTTGAGTTATCAGTTAGTGAACAGTGCAATAAAAACACTATATATGCAAAAGTATTCAAAACAAAGAAAATTCAGAATATACATTTTGTAGATATATGACCCAGGAACAGTGTAAAAATAATGAATGTTGTACAAAATTTTCCTCTTCACATAGACAAAGAAAATCAGAATCGAAGAGCTGCTTCATTGCTCGTGCTATGTAGTGAAGCATTGCATATTTTTTCGTGAGACACAAGTGTACTCATACTCTTTCCTCAGTAAATTTTTGTTTTCTTGTGATAAGAGTCTCCAGGTGTTTCAGTATGGTGTGAATAATTCCTCTATAAATGAAGTGTCCAGTGAACTTCTTTTTTTCATCTAGCTCCACATCTTTCCATGAGCCATCTTACTCAGCATAGGTTGGCGTTCCCATATATGCATCCAAGCATATTTTTCTTTTCATTTTTGCATTTATTGTACTACATAAACCCATGAACTGCTGTGGATGTGGGAGGCTGACGCAAAACATCATCGCCATAAAACTTGAAGCTGAGGTTCTGTCATTTTCGAACTCATAAGCTTGTCCTCACTTAGTTCAGGTGGGGTAACAAGAGATTTCTGACGAGCGCATCAGTTTTGCAGCGCTGGTGCGCACCCATGTGTGCGTGACGATGGCGTCATAGGAGCTGCTAGTGACACTAGATGCAACCCTGTGTCTGATATAACAATTCAAGCAAAACTAAAGTTGCGGGACAGTGTCATGGAGGGCCACTTCGACACTTTAGACATGCGGCGGACCTTTGCAAATATTTTTTTAGAACAAATCTTTCTTGTCTTCTAGGAACAGCTCTCTATTGAATATCTGGTATATTATTATGGCAATTATTACTGTTTAACGTCAAATTGCGAAGTTGACACTTTAGTATGATATTCGGCTTGCAAAGATTTTTTTAATTACAGAACTTCAATGTTACTGTACCATAATCACGAGGGGCACGCACTTCTATCAAGTCGCCAGTCTAGTGCACTTTTCGAAAAATACGCGCACGTTGGTTCGCACAAAGGTCTGTCAAAAATCGGTATGTTGCCGCAACGAGCAAATTCAAAACGATTCTGAGAGCTGAGTGCCTGAACTAACTACTATAACTATTAGAAACTGCTGGGTGCACAAGAAACAAATTTAACCTGGCAAAATCGACGATCCAAAAACGTCGATCACCGGTGATCGTTTTGTATAGGCGTGGTAACGAAAGAGTTAAAAGCTTGCTATCGAATTATACTATATATATCAAATAAATTCCCATCTTCTAGTGACTTTATTATAGTATGTGGGTTGGACTGTACAAAGCATGCTAATTTAACGTAGCGTTTGGTTTTACTTGCAGTAAGGCAATGCATTTTTCAGCTATGGGCAATGGGAGCGTGTCATTTGAGAGACAATCCTTGTAATGAAATTGCATTAGCACTGCGTGTTACCTGAATTTAAAACTCTAGTGTGTGTTAACAACACAAGGCATCAACAGGCTTAGTTACGGTGATACCTGAAGTTACATGTTTTGTATGAAGAAAGCAAATTCCTTTTTATGGTTTGTTCCTTTGTTTGATGCGATGTTAATGAAAACCCTGTAGGTAATGATGGCAAGGAAATTATAGGGAAGAATAATTGTGCTGTTTTAAGTGTATTGTGGTAAATTGATGTAAATGTGAATAAAGTAAAGTGGACAAAAAAAAACTTGCCGCTGGCAGTGACTGTAACTGCAGCCTTCCGACACGCACCAGCTGCTTTAATTGCAGTATGACAGCAGTCGTCCTATCGTTCGTTCACTCATTGGGGTATTTCTGTGCATGCAAACCCTGGAGAGTTAGTCAGCGGTGTTTGTAGTCATGGAACTCTCTTTGTCTGCTGGCATTATGTAGCATGTCATCTTTTAACAAGACAGCTGACCAGAAAGCCCTCGCATACTGCCTGAAGGCATCAAGTCTGCTGGGATTACCCTCATTATGTGAATCAAAGAAGAGAATTGAGGGCTCATTTTTTGTTTGACTCAGTGTTCATGAAAACCAGTACATAATAAAACCTAAGAAAGTATACGAGAGGTTATAATTGTTTTGATGTAAATGTATAGTAATAATTGTGATATAGATGTGAAGAAAGTGGACAAAAAAGACAACTTGCCATCGGTAGGGACTAAGAAGTACTCGAAGTTTCATGTTTTTGGCAGCTGTAAGTGCACATTCAAACTTGTGGCTGGTTGGGATTGCAGGTGGTGTCAGACTTCTACAAAAATGGTGCAGTGCTTCAGAAGTTTTCTGCAGGAACTGAACCATACCCTGTGGCGTCTCTTAACAACCGGCTGATGCTCCGGGCCAAAGGCTTTACGAAGGAGGACACCTTTACATTCAATTTTACTGGTGTTGAGCCAGGTATGTTTTGCTTCTCACTTTAATTTACTACTGAGCACCTGTGTTCTGAAATGTGTATTTTTAATGCATGGATCTGTGTGCGCTTTGGTATCTGAAATTTCAACAACTTGGTAGACGATTCGACGCAGTTATGACTTCATTTCAATTTTTCTTCGAGAGGTATGAGATTCTACAATAAGCATAGAGATGCAAAAATGTCTGTCTCAACCTATCAAGATGCACAAGGCTTCAGAAATTCAGACAGGCAAAATTTGTGGTATCTATTGGTAGAATGCATGCAGGTTTCGTGGCACAGTGCATAAAAAACACACCAGAGAAGTGTTAATAGCCGAATTTTTGGTGCAAAGGAAATTTTGATTTTAGAGATTGAAAATTGAATAAAATCATTTTTTAATAAATTTGCAGAAAAGTAGTTTCAGAGGATCCTTATGCATATTCTAAATTAGGTTGCATATTATAGCTCTTTGGTGGTTTTGGGACGTTAAACCCCACAAATCATGCATATTATAGCTCCATTGCAACAGCTGCAGATTAGCCACGTCGAAGCTACCGAAAACAATGTATAATTGCACAAAGTTTAATTAATAAGTTGCCTACCAATCATTTAAATCATTAAATACGTCATATATAGATTGAAAATGAACATTCAACAGATTTCTGTCTGGTTGTGTATGTTAACTGGGAAAACGATTTAAACTCCAACCAAAAAGTATGTGAAGATGTGTAAACTTGATGTTTCGGAACCGACTTGGTTTCTTCCTCAGGGGGGACTGGGGCTACGTTGCAGAGGCGTCTTCAAAGCACTCGCGGGGCATTTAATGGTCCCCCTCTCTCTCTTTCCCGTTTTGCCGTGGAGCGCAGTCCTGTGTAACACTGTGGGAAGGGTTCAGAGAGAGCAGTTGATGTTTTGGGCCGTTCGCTGTATATGCAACGACTCGAGTAGTAACCTTCTCCTACGGTTAGTCTCGCTTTCAAGGATGCTCGTTGCGTCAAAATTTATCCGGTTGTCAAACGTCTCGAATGCTTGGGGACAGCGCTGCGCTCTTTATAGAGCTTCCGAACGTCATTGGCATGTTGTTTGAATCATTCTGGTAGGCTTTTTGTCTTTGCCGATATACCAAGAAGGGCACTCGGCGCATGGTATTTTGTAAACGACACCGGAGGTTCTGTCCATTGTTGGCCGGTCTTTCAAGCGGAGAGAAGGCGGCCCAGTGTACATGAAAGCACGTGCGCAATGCGAACCCCTTCTTTTTTGAAGACCCATGCCAACATCTCGCTGGTTCCTTGAACGTATGGGACCGGTACGTGTTTCGTAGGGCTGCCAATTAATGCTGATTGGGGTTTTCGTACCCTCTGTTGCACTGCGCTACAGGTGATGGCTCGTATAAAGTTTTTAAGTATTCGTTTTTTGTGAGGTCTGCAATTACGTGAACTTCTTCTTTCTTTCGCTCCGAGTCATTGGAGCATATGTTCTTGGTGTGAGGAGGTTTATTAGCCGTTAAAGGCAGCGACGAGACAGCGTGAAGAACCGTCCAGCGATCGGCACAGCAACGAACCGAAGCACGAGCCGAGAGAGCCGGGCGTTGGCGATGCTGCTTGCTGCAGGCACATCTTCTTCTTCACAATCGCCCCCGCTGAAAAAAGAGCCATCCTGGCGACCTAAGAAGTTTCAGGGAGAGGCTCATGATACAGTTTTAGGCGGGAAACATGGACGATGTTACGTGCACGCCGGCGCATGTCATCCGATCGGGAAACTGGCTCAATTAGGTAATTAACCGGAGAGGTTTTCTCTAAAACGGTGTAAGGCCCCTCGTATCGAGGGACAAGTTTTGATGAGAGTCCCGGAGTTTGGTATGGGATGGCAAGCCACACGAGAGACCCTGGGGCATAGCTGGGATCCGGAAGAGAGGTGCAACGGTTTTCTTTCTGGCGTTGCTGCTCGTCCGAGGTGAACGCACGGGCGAGCTGGCGGCACTCTTCGGCTTGTCGAGCAGCATCGGAAATAGGTGGACATTCTGAAGCATCAGGACGGTAGGGAAGTAGAGTATCAATTGTATGGGAAGGGTCACGTCCATAAAGAAGAAAGAAAGGTGAAAATCCCGTGGTTGTTTGTATTGCAGTATTGTATGCAAATGTCACGTATGGGGGAACACGGTCCCAGTTGCTATGATTAGATGCCACGTACATTGAGAGCATATCACCCAGCGTGCGGTTAAACCGTTCCGTTAGCCCATTAGTCTGCGGGTGGTATGCTGTCGTTTTCCGATGAATGACGTGGCATTCTGAAAGCAGAGCTTCGACGACCTCGGAGAGAAAAGCGCGGCCTCTGTCACTAAGGAGCTCTCGAGGTGCACCATGTCGAAGGATAAATTGACGTAAAATGAAAGAGGCGACATCCTGAGCGGTAGCGCTCGGTAAAGCGGCTGTTTCGGCGTAGCGTGTTAGGCGGTCGACCGCCACTATAATCCACCGATTGCCATCTGATGTCAATGGAAGGGGGCCGTAGAGGTCAACGCCAATGCGATCAAAAGGCTTGGCAGGGCACGGAAGTGGCTGCAATTCGCCAGTAGCACGTAGCGGTGTTGATTTGCGTCGCTGGCAGTCAGGACAGCACTGCACAAATTTGCGTACGAAATTGTACATGCCGCGCCAGTAATAGCGATGGCGAAGGCGTTCATATGTTTTGAACACCCCGGCGTGGCCACATTGTGGATCGTCGTGAAGAGAAGCGCATACCTGCGATCGCAAAGTGCGTGGAATGACCAGTAGCCACCGGCGGCCATCAGGAGAGTAGTTGCGTCAATGGAGAAGTTGATCGCGGATGGCAAAATGGAAAGCTTGACGTCGGAGGGATCGAGATACCGGAAGGTTGGGCATACCGGATAGATATTCGAGAAGAGATGCGATCCACGGGTCACGACGTTGTTCGGTGGCAATTGAGTCAAGATTTAACGATGACAAGTACTGGAGGCACGTGTTTCCGCACGTCGGATCTGGTGGCAAAGGTGAGCGGGACAGGGCGTCAGCGTCAGAGTGTTTGCGTCCACAGCGGTATACGACGCGAATGTCGTACTCCTGGATGCGGAGTGCCCATCGCGCAAGGCGGCCAGAAGGGTCTTTCAGCGTGGAGAGCCAGCAAAGCGCGTGGTGATCAGTTACTAGATCGAACGGGTGGCCGTATAAGTACGGCCGGAACTTTCCAAGCGCCCACACCAGAGCCAAACACTCTTTTTCTGTCACGCTGTAATTAGTTTCGGCTTTCGTCAGAGTGCGGCTAGCGTAGGCTACAACATATTCTGAATAGCCGGGTTTTCGTTGCGCGAGGACAGCACCTAGCCCGACGCCACTGGCGTCGGTGTGCACTTCGGTAGGAGCCGTCGGGTCGAAGTGCCGAAAAATAGGTGGCGAGGTGAGCAGACGGCGCAGAGTAGTGAAGGCAACGTCACATTCAGGGGACCAGGAGGAGAGGTTCACGTCACCGCGAAGAAGCTGGGTTAATGGTGACATGATGGATGCGAAATTGCGAACAAAGCGCCGGAAATATGAGCATAGGCCTACAAAACTGCGAAGTTCCTTCATGGTCGTCGGCTTGGGAAATTCTGCGACTGCTCGAAGTTTTGCTGGGTCAGGTAATACGCCGTGCTTCGACACGATGTGGCCTAGGATGACGAGCTCGCGTGCAGCGAAGCGGCATTTTTTCAGGTTAAGCTGCAGGCCAGCGTTGGTCGGACAAGTCAAAACCTGCCTGAGGCGAAGGAGGTGGGTAGGAAAGTCGTGCGAGAAAACCACGACATCGTCGAGGTAGCAGAGGCACATATTCCACTTGAGGCCACGTAGCGTATTATCCATAAGTCGTTCAAACGTGGCGGGCGCGTTACAAAGCCCAAAGGGCATGACGTTAAACTCGTATAGTCCGTCAGGTGTAATAAATGCAGTTTTTTGGCGATCGGCTTCAGCCATTGGAACTTGCCAGTAGCCAGACCGCAAATCCAGCGACGAGAAGAATTCCGCTCCGTGAAGGGTGTCGATGGCGTCATCAATGCGCGGCAAAGGATATACGTCCTTGCGGGTTATCTTATTCAAACGACGATAGTCTACGCAAAATCGGATAGATCCGTCTTTCTTACGCACCAAGACGACAGGAGACGCCCAGGGACTGTGAGATGGTCGAATAACGTCTCTACGAAGCATATCTTCGACTTGATCGTTGATGACGCGGCGCTCTTCAGTGGAGACACGGTATGGTCTTTGACGCAGTGGTTGGTGTAGGCCGGTGTCAACATGATGCTTGACTTGCGACGTGCAGCCTAGTTGAGGTTGGGACACATCGAAGGAATTCCGGAACTCATGCAGAAGATCAAGCAGGTCGGCATGTTCGGTGGGAGTAAGGGTGTCGGCGATGGCGCTGGAAAACGTATCCTTAGACGACTCCTCGAGGGCCGACAATGATTTTGGGTGGTCGCAGTAGTCATCCGGGACATCAACCAAAGACGAAGGGTCGAGATCCTGCACGCGGCCGAGACATTCTCCCGCAAGCAAAGTGACAGTTGTGGAAAGCGGGTTGAGTATGAACATATTGCTTCTTCCGGCGGCAAGGTCAATCGTTGCGAAAGGCAGCGGCAGAGCTCGACGACTCGTGAAGATATCGGAAGGCATAAAAAAGACTGTAGCGTCAGTGTAGGCGTTGCATGAAATTGGAACAAGTGCGAAGTTTTCAGGCGGAATATCGGTGTCTTCATGCACGAACAACTTCGGCGGCTGATGAAGAGCGTCAAGTAATGGGACATCACAAAAGGGTGAAAACTCAACTTCAGTGCGTGCGCAGTCGATGACGGCATTATGGCGGGATAGGAAGTCCCATCCGAGGATGACATCATGCGAACAGACAGCAAGGACAATAAACTCCACAGTGTAAACAATGCCTTCGATGGACACTCTTGCAGTGCAGGCTGCGAGAGGCGTTACTTGCTGTGCACTTGCGGTGTGGAGTGACAGTCCCGAAAGCGGCGTCGTGACTTTACGTAGTACACGGCAGACATTAGCGGCAATAACAGAAACAGCGGCGCCGGTGTCTACAAGGGCGAAAGTAGAATAACCTTCAACAGTTACTGCGACCACGTTAGCAGGAGTGGGGCGAGGGCTTAGAGAGTTCGAAAATGGCGCAGTTCTTGCCTCTTGAACTGCAGTGCTTAGTTTTCCTGGTCATGTCTGGGCCGGCGACGCATGGGGGAGGGCAATCGCCGACGAGGAGACGGTGCGCGCGGCGTCACGAAGTCGGGGTCGTTAGGAGGGGCATAGCGAGGTGACGAGACCGGCCCGTATTGCGCGAAGGGTTGGCTGCCGGTTTGCGACGATCGGACATAGTCGCCGAACGCCTGAGGTCGACGGCGGCAGTAGCGAGCAACGTGTCCGGGAGTGAAGCAGGCGTAGCAAATCGGTCGGTTATCGGGCGTCCTCTAGGGATTGGCGACTGGTGCTGCCGCCCAAGGTGCAGTATAAGCAGCCAGGTGCGCGGGCTGTGAGCGCGTGGTGTAGGGTGGTTGCGGAAGCATACGCACAGCGTCTGCATATGTGAACGGCGCTGCTACAGGCTGCATCACTTGCGAGCAGGCGACAGGAGGAGCCACAGGCTGCACGGCTGGCGGATAGGCGACAGGAGGGCCTACCGGCTGCGCGGCACGCTGGCAGTGGGCAAGGCTGGATAGAGGCGGCTCGTGGTGCGCAACAGGAACAGCTTGGGCAACCTCTTCCGAAATAGCAGTGCGAAGCGGGGCAGGTAAACGGGTGGTGGTCTCGTGAGTGAAGGGCACTAGGGAAAGTTGGCGGGCGACTTTTTCACGGACGAAGGCTCGAACTTGCTGATGCAGCGGTGAATTGTCCGGCAGGGTGTCGAAACTGGACAGTGACTCACCACCATGCTGAGGCTGCCGAGTCAGAGTGCGTTGCTTCTTTAACTCGTCGTAGCTCTGACACAAGCTGACGACTTCGGAAACTGTGCTCGGATTTCTTGCCAAGAGCATTTGAAATGCGCCGTCGTCGATGCCCTTCAGGATGTTTTTGACCTTGTCAGATTCGGGCATGGTGTCATTCACACGTCGACAAAGGTCGACGACGTCTTCAATATAGCTGGTAAAGGTCTCGCCACTCTGCTGAGAGCGGACGCGCAAGCGCTGTTCTGCCCTCTGCTTGCGGACAGCCGGCCGACCGAACACTTCAGCACATGACGTCTTGAAGACGCTCCATGTGGGGATGTTGTGTTTGTGGTTATTAAACCACAATTCGGCGACGCCAGTGAGATAAAATATCACGTGGCCCAGCTTGTCGGCTTCATCCCACTTATTGTTGGCGCTCACCAGTTCGTAGGGCTCTAGCCAGTCTTCGACGTCGGTCCCATCCGCACCGCTGAAGACCTTCGGCTCCCGTAGCGTAGGATGGCCAGGGCAGTTGAACTGGAGCGAAGGCGTCGATGTAGTGGCGTTGGCAGTCATGACAGGTGGTAGTGTGCGGCTTCGCAGCTCCAGGGTGTAGCAACGGGGATTAACAGCACCTTCCACCAAATGTGAGGAGGTTTATTAGCCGTTAAAGGCAGCGACGAGACAGCGTGAAGAACCGTCCAGCGATCGGCACAGCAACGAACCGAAGCACGAGCCGAGAGAGCCGGGCGTTGGCGATGCTGCTTGCTGCAGGCACATCTTCTTCTTCACATTGGCTCTTTGGAGTAACGTGGGCACAACTGAGGCATTGTAGCAGGCGGGATGGGATGATCATATTGAAGGTAGCGGTAGTGAGAAGTCAAACTGAAGTTAATTCTAATACTATACTATTTATTTAAATATTCAAAGTATTCGAATATTCGCACAAGCCTAGTAAATACCATAAGATCCCGAGCAAGCACTCACCCTCTGGTGGGAGGTAATTGGAGAAGATTTGTAGGGGGAGCCCTTTGCTCACTCACAATTTAAACTTCAAAATGGCAGTGGAAGAACCGTGCATACTTTCAGTGAAAGGCTTTGTTGAATACACACATTCATAGTCGCTATTTGCTCGACGGATAACAACAATGAATGATGCAGTGAAAATAGCGAGAGGGGTGGAGAGGGGCCCTCACTGGGGATGTTAAGGTAATGTTTTATGCCCAGCTTTGAATGTATCTACTCTGCTTCAAATTTTGGTTTGTTTGAAAGACCTCATAGTTATAGCTGCCAGTGTAACAAGTGTACTAAATTGTCTCCAATTGTCCAAGGTTTTAATTGAAAGGGATATGTTGTGCCTACTGCCATGTATAAATAAATGTAACATCTTTTATACAGGTTGTCATTCTACAACTCTTGGCACAAGAGGATTTTACAGCTTATCTAACACATGCAGTGCTTTTTGCACATGGGCCATTAATCCTTCAAACAGCTCAGGTAGGATTTATTTCCCTCCTGCTTTATATTCTTGTCTTTTTATGTTTGAGTGAACAGGTGCCAACGGTAGCTCAGTAGTTATAATTCTCAGTTGTCCCAGAAGACAAGAGTCAGATGATGACTTGGCCGTCACATTTCAATGCAAGCAAAACACTAAATCCTGCAATACTGTGCAATGTAAGTGCATATTGAAGGGAAATGCAAATTAAGCATGTTGTTTTCATCGCTTCCTTTGTTACTGTGGGATGCGGCGATACCACATGGCTGACAGGAGTGCCGAAAACATAGTAGTAGTACATGAAGGTGTTAGGGAGTGCAAAACACCCAATATACACAAGAACTGGACAGCATGAGTTCTCACTTCAGACTGAAGTTTATTTTACATAAATAAAATAGGCACTTGGAATATATCAGCGGCAGCCACGTGCACGCTTGGCATGACCTGAGTTTTTACGTTTCACAGTAGTTTTGTGACCCTCATGCTTTTGTTATGGTTTTATTTTGAAGCTGATAGTTTATTTGTTAGTAGGTTGCTCTGCACACAGGCATTTCTCTGTTCATTTTGCTTTTTGGTGTACGATAAAACCTGGTCAGTTTCTGTAAATAAACTTCAGTTTGAAGTGAGCACTCGTCTTGTCTAGTTCATGTGTATTTCGGGTGTTTTGGGCTCCCAAGTGCCTGCATAGATCTGTATAAACTCGCCCAACTTTGCTTTTCTATAGTACAGTCAAACCTTGTTAATGCACGTGCCTGCTTTAAGCGTACTAACAGTCGAAATGTAGTTGCAACGAATCCCCAATAGAGTTTCGTGGCAAATAGATTCTCTAATCGTTTAAGCCGTGGTGGTCTGTCCTATGCTTACCGGTTAGTGCGTACCCTGCATAATGCATTAACTTTTTGTGCTGTAAAGTTATACCGCACCGCTGAACTCTCCAACGCCACAATGTGCTGCCCAAGGTTCTCATTGTAATAAGCGAGGACGTTAGTCAACAACTAATTCGACTTCCGCACGATTAGAGTGAAGTCTTTTTGGGTAAGCGTATAAAAAAAGAACTAGGGTGGAAGGTCACCCAGATGCTAGGATGCGGTATGCTACCCTGTACTGTGGTTGGGAAGGCCATTGACGAAGTGCCAGCATGACTTACAGCCAACAACCTTCTTACAATAACTATCTTCAGATATCTGCTCAAGCATGCGTGCAGCACAGTGCTGCATTAGACCTACTGCACACTTTTCATAGATGACAACCTGAACGTGTTGTGCCACTTCGTTGTGTTGTTCAAGACCGCATTCAAATGCACAGGGCTTTGTAGAAAAGAAATAAGCTCGCTTTTGCAAAGTTGAGTATCACGTACGCTAAGAATGTTCACTACATTGACTTTATCGCGCTGAATGTATGTGTACGGTAAAACAAGCATAGTGCACACATCTATTAGGCGACCACCCAAACATGCCTCAGTCCACTTCCAGGACTGCTAAAGCGTGGTGAAGTGAGGATTGCTTGCAAGAAGCTTGTCATTTGTGCACAATCTGTAGCGAAGTGGGTACGAATAACACTAGCTCCCTCGACAAATGCGCGCATGTGGTATGGTTAGCGACCTGGCAGTGACTGCATGAGCTGAGAAGGCGGCACGCTTTTCACAGTTACCCTGGAGACAAATGACTCTACGCGGATGTACCGTAGTTCATTGTAACTATCATTTTTCGTTTAGTAGCATCTCGTGGTACAGACACATGCACGTAGCCCCGCCGCGGTGGTCTAGTCGCTAAGGTACTCGGATGCTGACCCGCAGGTCGCGGGATCAAATCCTGGCTGCGGCGGCTGCATTTCCGATGGAGGCGGAAATGTTGTAGGCCAGTGTGCTCAGATTTGGGTGCACGTAAAAGAACCCCAGGTGGTCGAAATTTCCAGAGCCCTCCACTATGGCGTTTCTCATAATCATGTGGTTGTTTTGGGACGTTGAACCCCTCATATCAATCAAGACACATGCACGTAGAGTCAAACCCCTTTACAAGAGACACTGATATAATAAACAAATGAATATAAGAGACACTAGTGTGCCTACAGTAAATACGGGTTGATAAAAAAAATGCACATGGGGTACCCTGCTTATAAGAGGCACCTCACACGAGACAAAAATTTCTGCCTAGAGCATGCCTCTTAGAAAAGGGTTTATTGTATATCACGGAAAGTCGACACTGCACATTCTGTCGCTGTGTCAGTCGCTACATATCCTGGACCTTGAAATAGTTTTAAAATGCTCCTTGGCGCATCCTCCGCACACTGCCAAACGGTTGTACGAGAATGCCATAATCTTTTATTCTTTTGGCAAAAAGAAAAGAAAGGCTATGTGGTCAGTACTTCAGCTGTGGCAATATTGGTTGTGGCACTGTATTTATTTGCTGGTGGCAATGGCATACGCCAATAGATGCAAACTTGTACTAGGTAATTAATGTGTACTACTGTTTAGTGCATAGTAATGTGTGTTCCCAACAGGTATCTATTAATGAGGCTTTACTGTAGTTATAGTTTGATTTGAACGAATAAACCGTCAGTTGCCCATACTATGGTGACATACGATGGTGATTTTGGGCATCAGAAATTATGTTGGGTCATACGACAGTGACACTAGAGGCTGATAAGCCAAGTTGCATGTAACGTTTTTAGTACTAGTCCCAGCTTGGCCACATTATTTTGTGCTAAAAATATATAAACATTTTTGATTAGACCCCATGAAATTTCGATTCTAAATATGATGCCTTGAAGCAGTTGCAGCATCTGCACAGCACAATGGCCAGCATGAGAGTGAGACTCCAGTTTGTTCTTATAAGAGGTGCACGATGACTGGAAGCAACCTGTGATGTCACTGGCAGAGTGAAATACAAAAGGGATGGGTTTCTTTTTATTATTGTTATTGACATGTGCTTGTGTTTTGAATTTTAAAGATTAACAACTTCAGTTTTCGTGTGCATTTTTAATAATTATTTTTTTCATTAATCTTGGTATTCAATACTACACAGACTCCACAGCTACAGAGGGGAGGAGTTTAGAAATCATTGCAGGGCCCCTTTAAGCAGCTTCCATGGTATAGAGTTGTTTGGTTGTTGTTTTTTTGCTTTTTTCAAGCCATGTAGAGCAGTGCCTCACTAATTTATTATCAACACCTTTTATAGCACTCCTCATTTCAGTTTAAGTTAGAATGTGTGGATGTCAGTTATGGCATTGAGCTTTGCAAGACTCCAGCTAATTATGGGAGAAAGAAAAATTTATAGAAAATGAATTGTATGAGGACATTCTTGTTATTAAGTTCGTTCATTTGCAAGTGAGTGTAGCCCGGGTGGCATATTTGCTTTGGCTACTAGAAACTGACGGGCTCAGAGCTGGTATTTTGCGCAGGAATATCGGCTGCACACTTGCACTAGTTCTGGTTTGCATCTTTCATTATAAAATAATACTTTAATGATTGTTGTGGTTCGAAAGTGCTCTATAGTCGTTTTACTGTTGTAAAAATTGTTCCAAAGCTGAACAGGCAGAGCCATCTTAGCATTACTAAATTTATATGCCCAAAATGGATGGTTAACTACAAGCAGTGAATTAGCTAGCTAAGGACTCAAGGTGAATTATGACAATTCTGGTTACATTAATGCAGCCATACTTAAGTGCCCAAGTGTTTGTAGTTGTGTCATTAGAATGTAGCCACTATTGCTATAAATTGGATCTTATCATATTTGAAGGTGTAAAAAATAAAATGAAAAGTAGAGGAGAGAGCCAGGTATTTTAATTCTTTTAAGGTCAATGATGTACATGATTATCATCACTTGTTATTCCCCCCTTTCCTTTCTTTTTAATCCGGTCTTTTACTTTGCATGTGCTGCCACACTGCGTGAATACATAAAATCTTTTGTTGCGCCGATGTCCCCTCCTTTCTCCCCTTCTTCTCTTTCTTTTTTTTCTTTACTACAGCAGTGTGCTGGCTAGTATCGGTTTTGTCCTTCTGGACGTTCCCACTTCTTGCACCTGCAAAATCAATGTCTGCCTGCTTAGGAATTTTTATCTACGTCTGTCTGCTTTGTCTGCTTTGGAAAGTAACTGTTTGTTGCTCTCTTGTTTATTTCTCCCGAGGGCGGGGTTACTCCTGTTTTCATGCAGGCATTCACTGACAAATGATGCTGCTATGGCTGGGTTTCCTGTTTACAGGACGCGCAAAACCCATTGCCATCTCTGCAATGAGATGAAGGATCGTTATAGGTTTTTTGACTTGTTCTGGCTTTCTGGACACGTGCACAACCACGAAGTTTCGTTAAGTATGTTCACCTGTGCAGTTTGCTTGTGTTTTAAAAGTGCACACTGATTTTCCTGGTGTAAATGAGCCTAGTGGTGGTTTCTCCGTATCGCCGCTCGATTGCCAAATCAGAATCTGATTCATTGGATGTCAGTTATTTATAAGTTAAGACTGTTGATGTTGATGAACAATCTATATCTCAAAAGCGTGGGTGGGCCCCGCCGCGGTGGTCTAGTGGCTAAGGTACTCGGCTGCTGACCCGCAGGTCGCGGGATCGAATCCCGGCTGTGGCGGCTGCATTTCCGATGGAGGCGGAAATGTTGTAGGCCCGTGTACTCAGATTTGGGTGCACGTTAAAGAACCCCAGGTGGTTGAAATTTCCGGAGCCCTTCACTACGGCGTCTTTCATAATCATATGGTGGTTTTGGGACGTTAAACCCCACATATCTATCTAAAAGCGTGGGTGGTTAGATGATGCTGGCTTGATCAAAGGCAACTCTTCTTCCTCTGGTTTTGGGACGTTAAACACCACATATCAATCATCAAACCTTCTTCTGTATTCCCACTTGACCCCCACTTTGTGCTCTTATTTTTGTATGTGTGTTAACCACACATGTTTATCGCAATGGATAAGTTTTTAACAATCTTGTAAGCTTTTTTATAATTCATCTTGCTGTTACGCATGAATAAAAACCATGTGTATATAATACCATTAACAATTTTTCATCATTTTATGGTCACCTGAAAAAAATATTAGACGAATTTTTTCCTAAAGTAGATTCACCCGAAGAATTTAAACCAGCAATAAAAGAAATCAACCTTCCGAGGTCATATTTGTGGAAAAACAATTTGACCCTCAAAGGATTAAGGGGACAGTAAACAATGTCGCCATCTGAAATTAGTAATGGAGAGGTAACTGTGCACTTACAACATGAACACGCTGCTGCTGAGGAACTTGAAGGGTATAGAAGGATGTTGTAGAAGAAAGTTACAGGATTTTCATTTTCTCCTTTGGCCCTCCCACTTTTCGCGGCAGTGAAGAAGGGTAGTGTCACGAATATATGCTGAGGCCTGGTTCGCTCGTCGGGCGTTTCGAAATGAACTATAGAGGCTGATGGTACGAAACGAAAACTATCACTTCATTACCATGACAATCACAAAAACGAAACAACAACACAAATACGCACACGTTGGAAAACACAGAAAAGGAGATGTCTTAATGACGCGCGTTTCAACGTCCGATTGCGTTGGCGTTCTCTAAGTTTCGCGCTTACAGTTGTGGCGTGGCCTCTGGTCCGCTGGGAGTCCCTCTCAGGCGTGATGACACACCGTATCGATGCTCAACGGTGGCGACGATGTTGAAGACCCACTACAGCGCTAGCTCCTGTGGTTTCTCGCCGAGGCAGGTGCTCGGGCGGGATACACTGCAGACCAGGGTCGGCTGTGGTTCCGGGGCTGCTCGCTGAGGTCGGTGCTCGGGCGGGAAACTGCAGCCCAGGATCGGCGGTAGTTCCGGGGCTGCTCGCCGAGGTCGGTGCTCTGGCGGGAAACTGCAGCCCAGGATCCGCGGTTGCTCTGTGAGCTGCTCGCCGAGTCAGGTGCTCGGGCGGGAAACTGCCGTCCAGGATCAGCGGTTGCTCCGTGCGCTGCTCGCCGAGTCAGGTGCTCGGGCGAGAATTATTGCAGTCCAGGGGCAGCGGTACTTCCTTGCGCTGCTCGCCGAGTCAGGTGCTCTGGCGGGAGCCTGCAGCGAGACCCAGTCCGAACTTCCGCTGCCCTTGGCCCCTCGAACGCCACGTCCCGGCTCTCACGTTCCTCACTCGCCTCGCGCCGTCTTCTTTTTTCCTCTTCTTCTTCCTCATTCCAGCATGTTAAATTACCTATTCAATACAACTTCTTTCTCTTCATCTTGTCATTCTTGACAGGTAGGTGTAGCGCTCATTTGTTACTACGTCCAACTTAGCAACGAAACACGACGTTTGCAATTACATCATCGGCATGCACAGAACGTCCAAGCAAGGCTTTTCCTACGTTTTGCTTCTGTCAGAGCAGCACAGGGAGAGGGGTGGTGAAGTAAACAAATATACCAGGACGCATGCATCTTTCCTCTATCATCAAAGTTGCAAGACGCCTCTTGATCTCGGAAGCTTTCGTTCTTGTAATACTGCTTGTCTCGGTAGTCTCCACTCTCCCAAAAGAGCTGAGGGCAGCATGGGAAAATGAAAATGCTTACTGCACAGCCAAAGCCTAGTTAAGTTGGCCATAGCTTCATCACCGCAGAGCAATGCCCCATTGCATAGTGCTAAGGACCAATCCACAAAATCGGTGCTAGGGACATGATTTCATCACCATTTCAGCGAAAGTGACCGGTCAGGCACATGGAAGGGGTGCAAGATTTGTTTTTCAAAATGGAGGGTCTGCGTAATACACAGCGCTGTAATATTTGCAAAAGGGGGTCGCCACAGCTTTTGGCACAAATTGAAGAGACTCCTTGGGAGGTGTATAGAGAAAAAATAAGCCGGAATTGGTTTACCCCTTTTTTAAATGATCGGGGTTAACTCACTAGTTTACTTTTCGTGAAAGTTTGTTACAAATACTCTTATAATCCTAGCTGTTGTGATTCCATATTATTTTACTCATCAATTCATGCAATCCTCCTTTTTTTTTTCCCAGAATACAAGGAAAAGTTTACCCTGACGCTTAACCATCTGGACCTTGACAAAGATGACACTGTTTCAATAAGTTCCTTATCTCAGCCACACAAGCCAGTGCTTCTTCTAAATGCTTCATTTTCTGCCTTGGAACCTGTAGAAATGAGCTCCATTGATGGTGCTTATGTGATAATCACACGCAACAAGTGTGTTCAGGCAAATAGGACAGTTGCTTCTGGCTCACTGTCTGGTGTCATTGGTGAGTACTTTTAATTTGCTCTGCAATAATGAAATCATAGTGGCTGGACTTGTTAATTCAAGTTTGCTTTGCCAGTACTGATCATATTGATTAAGGAAGTACCGTACTGTAGAACTCTGCGAAAGCTTAGTTTTGAAAATGCGAGAAAAGAAGACCACATCTATAAAATTGTTTAGTACAAGTTGACTTGATTGCAGTGTTGTTTAGAGTGAGAATACTAGGATGTCTAATGAGCCTAGAACAGTAATAATGATAGTCTTAAAAAAAGTGTTCTAGTGAGTTTTGTTTGCTTTATCGGAGAATATAAGCTAGCGAGATAAGTAGGAGTGAATTTATTCTTGGCATATATTGCAATACAATGAGTTGAGCCTTATGAGCATAGGTGTGTTGTTTTCTACCTCATAGCTTTACACATGATTATGGCCAACTCTCGCCTAGCAAGCAATATAGCAGAGGCCGCTAGTGCACCCAAGTTTTTTTTTTTTTTTTTTTTCTGTGCAAACTGCTTTTTCCGCGAAGAGTTGAGTCGCATGTGCTGGTGAAGGCTATTCTGTAGGCCGACAACAAATTCGGCCTGAAACCTTTGCTACCTGGGTGACACTGGTTAGCCTGTTGCAGTCACTATACATGCGTGGATTATTCTTGCAAGAATCTTTGCTGATATGATGAGACTATTGTTACACTTCGGGATTATTGAACTTGTATTTATTGGGGATCTTAGTCTTAAGCCTCCGCTCTGAAGCTCTCCTTGCTCATTAGAGAGTCGAGGAGCTCAGCCTTACTAACTCTTCTTCATTACAGAGTAGAGGAGAGTTTAGCCCTTGTGTGACCACTGATCACTGGGTGAGCTTGGTACAAACCAAGAACTGAAAAAGCAAACAAGAATGTGACATGGAAAGCATTAGGTCCATCTGTCAAGGATATCTTTATGAGGCCTTTCATTCTACCATAGAATAGTTCAGTTGACTACTGAGAGCTGTCTTACTTATTGGAATATGTCCTGATACCTTTCTTTGAATAATTTAAAGAAGTCGAGCATTGGCTAAGATTTAAGTATGCAATTTGTCCACAACCACTAATGCTTAAATGGAATGTTGACTGCTCATGACATGTCATGGAATTTTGATGTAATTTGAAGGGACCACAAAACCAATGGCTTTACGGTTATGTAGAAATGGTAATTTTAAATTTCCACTGATAGTTCAGATAAACTGCTATGTTGTACCACTTTCTATTGTAACCTTGATACTAGAGCTTGATGCTGGCATAACTGCAGATTAGTACATACAAGTAAACTGTGTGTCGTATCTCTTCTTTAAAATGACGTTCTTCATGTCATGTAGGCCTCTGCACTTTATTTTATGCATATTACAACCTCAAGGAAGCTAATCCTAGCAAACAGAACTACTTTTGTAGCTACAAGTGGAAGTTCAGATGCATGCTGTGCCTCATAGCACGGTAACGCACATCTGTTCTCTCATACCCATGCAAGTTTGCAAGTAGGTATTACAAGTTCTGTGATCTCCCTGTCAGATACAAAATGCCATTGTAGTCTGAGAGCCTTGTCATTTACACGTGATTGAAATGTGCAGTTGACTCCCGTTATTATGAAGTTCACGAGATCCGCAAAAAACTTCGAATTAAATAAGCTTCCAATTAATCGAAATGCACAAGAACCTGCAGTACTTTAATTGGTTTAAACCTTACAGTTCTCTAAGAAAATAGTCTGTCATCTTCTCTAGCCAAACCTGGCTGCAGCTAACAAGTTTTCCAAGCACTACCTTGTCTTCTTCTTAAAAAAAAAAAAAAAAAAACCCCCCGAAATCATCAGCGCAAGAGCAAGTCCCGCAGCAACATAGGTAGTCCTTGGTGGCAGTTCGTTTCTATGTCGTCGTCGACTAGACGAACTATCTGCACAATTTTTTTGTTCGTTTGTGAATTGCATGTATCAACGTTGCTGTTCATGGCAACGAATTTTTTAAGGGGGGATGCTACACCTTCCAAAAACTCTTTTATTTTTGCGAGTACCTCAGTCAAATTTGGAGAGCCTATGTAGATTTTACTGCTGATTTCAAAAATCTAATTCTTTTTTTGCTGTGACAATTAGTTTTAAAGATATAATGAACTGCGACTTTACCAATTAAGGTCTAATTAGCTAATTAACTGTAACTTGGATATTGATGTGCAACCTATAGAACCAATTCGGTATGTTCACAGTGTGCAATAAAGTATAAATCATTGTTCTGGGCTATTTCGAAGCAAAGTTGTGGGATGTTGAATATGACATGAAAAATTTACCCATCTACACTTGAAACAAAAGATCTATTTAGAGAATTTTCTCCAAAAATTATTACAATAAAACTTACTTTACGACACATCCCCTGCATTTATCTTCGAAACAAAAAAGAAATCGTAATGATAACCCAGATAGAACAAGAGATATTGCTCCGGCATAATGGGAAGCACATGAAAATTGTTGTTTTGAGAAATCGAGAAAAAACGTGGGCACACATTTTTATTGCAGAAGATGCAACAAGACAACCTCAAAACGCACCAGAAGCATAGTCTGAATGCATTCTGTGCTCATGCCTCCTCTCCACTAGCTTCCGGAGTTCCAATGAGGCTGTTCTTTTCTTGTTGGAGACAATGCTGCGACGGTGGTCTTTTTCTCTCGCTCTCCTGGCACCAGTACTTGTCGCATTCATGTCCATTTCACCTAAGATTGCCGTTGCAGAATCACAGAATTCAAATTGCCCGTGTTGAAGCGCAGCACTGCTTCTGCAACAGCTGCTTCAACAGCGAACAGGGACGCATGGTGCTCCTTGGGGGCCAAACTCCAGATTACCGAATGTAGGCTCTCGTTGGAGTTCTGCGTTTTGCCGCGTTCGCACCTCTGAAGCAGGGCTCTTTCCGAAAGCCGGGTATAAACCGGTAGTAATGCCTCTGCCACGTCTTTCGGTAGATTGTAGGCATGCCTGGGGTCAGGCTCACCCTTTGCTTTTGCGGCATTGTGCCGACACCATGAAGTTTCACCAGCTGGGCACAGACTGTGGTCCGAGCATTCATCAGTGGAGGTGACATGGCGGTATGTGGCCATCACAGCCTTTTGCATCTCGCCCACGTCACCTTCATGCGATTTCAGAGCCCGGCCATAATATGTGCTCAGCCTGGTGATCAGCTCACCTGTGAGCCTGCCTTTCCCACCAAGGCCTCTTTTCCCATCGCACTTTTGTTTCTGCACCAGGTTTCTCAATGCGGTGCCCATCCGTTTCTGTACATGATTAATACAGTCTTCCTTCTGCACGTCAATGTAACCATACACCTTGGCGTCTTGTATGGCGCAAAATGTCCTAGAGTCTCCATCAGACAGCATAGTTGTGTAGCGCAGGCCATGGCGTTCAAGCGACCTCTGAAATAGAATTAGAGCCGCCTCCACTTCCATTTGCCCCGCTTTGCTGTTCGTATTTTTTTGGCATTTGTGGTTAGCCTTCCATTCTTGATAGCCTTCACTACTAGGCTTTGGGCCCACCTCGCAGCCTAGGCAAAAGTTGGAAAGAACGACGTAGTCCAACACGTAGCCACTAAATAATTCGATAACTGTGCCCACGCCGATGTGGGAAGAATGGCCTCGCGTCTTCCACGTGCCGTCGTAGCTAACGGCAATATTGCCCCGGTGGCCGAAGCACAAGTCATCATAAATTGTTCTAACCTTTTCCGCACATTCGCTCATAGCGGACTCAGCCGCTCGCGTTGCAGCGGGTGCCAGCGTGTTCTTCAAATCCTGCTGAAACGTCTTGTGGTGCATACCGCGGTGTGAGATGCCCATTGTTGCGAAAATATCGTTCATTTTCGTTTGGCCGTTGCCGGTAGCCACCATCGCCCTCGAAGCGAGAAGATTTACGTCAAACGGATTGCACGTTTTCGTGCCGTTCGCGCGGGGCGAAGTCCATTCATTCGCGATCTCGCCGCACCTTTCACACTGCACTAGCACTTTCACGGCAAGTCCGTTCTCCCGATCCCCTCTGACGATCGTAGCCGGTCCGTGGCAGGCTTTGCAATACAAGGCACCCATTATCGCGTTTAGGATATCTAGATGCATAAGCAGATAAGGAGCAGCGTGGTCCGAGTCCTGTGCGGTTGCCTCGCTACAACTCGCGGTGAAAAAGTCAATTTTCCGTGCAGTTGCTGGCGCCGATGAAAGCCGGTCGAGCGTCGCTTTCTCCCGGGCATGATTTTCTTCAACTTCGGCATTTGTCACCACCTTGGCGTCGATTCGTAGTCGTTCGGAGTTCGCTTCACCGTCATCGTCGTCGGAGGCAACGCGCTCGGTCGCACCATCGCTGAACGGCCGCGGAGCGTCGACACATCGTTCGTCGGAGTCAACCAAGGGCTCTGATGACTTCGTAGACTTTCTCCCACGACCTTTGCGTTTCCTGCGACCAAATGCGTGCACGGTCCGATACTTTTTTGCGTTTCCAGGCATGGCGATACGATCAGAAGCTTCAGAGTGCTCTGCCGATTTCGAGGCGTCACAGCGGTAACCCTTTCAAAATGGCGTCGGGTCGCGTATGCAGGCGCAAGCCGCGAGCTTCCAGCCAACCGGAAAGCGCCATTTCAGGCATGTGCGCCGTTTAGCCAATGGCAGTGAGCGCGGCTTTTCGTCTTTAAGGCCCCGTTTTTCGAGCTGGGGAAACGCTCAATGTTGCTTACTGAATAAAAAAACAGCTGAAAACGCGTTCTTTCAAACAAGACCAAAATGGCACCGATCGAGCGCGTAGTTCCCGCATATCGTAGAGCCGAAACCTGCGCTATTCGCCCTCAATTTAAAGGGCAGGACGCCCGTTTTCGGTTTTTTAAAGTTGAATAACGATAAAAGTTGATGGTATTCGGCTATGAAATTTTGTAAATATGTGCGCAATGATGTCGGGAACGCGAAAAGAAGGTCCGCGAAAACTCGATTTTTTTGGCTGATTTTCGGTCCCGAAGTGCCGCGTCCCCCC